CACCATGCCACCTGCTGGCTCTCCAGACTTGTAATCTTTTTAAATGTCTACATTTTTCATGAACATATTTAACTCAATTATATTTCAGTTTATAATGTGAAATCAGAAATCGAAATCTTTCTTTTTTAATGTTTAGCAAGTTGGTCTGACACATCGTTAGACATTCCATCTGCTCCACGTTGATTTGAGATGGCTCCTCACCTGTACTAATACCTAAGTATTGACACACTTAATGTCTGTGAAAACAGTTTATTTTTTGATTTTCTTTCTTCTGTTGCATAACAGTTCTGTATGTGCCTACAAGGCCTCACATTCTTTTAATTACTGAAACTTAAAATAAGCTTGCATGTCTAGGAAATCAAGGCCCTCTTTTTTCAAAATTGGGGTCCTATTTTAACACCTTGCCTTTCCAGGTGAACTTTTGTAAAGCTTCCCCAACATGTTGTTGGTATTTTGATTGGCATTGTGTTAAATCTAGTCATTAATCGACATCTTTACAATATTAAATCTTCCCACCTCCCCACCAGCTGGAAGTATTTTGTCCTTCCTCTGAACTCCCTTAGCATGTTATACCTTTTAAAAAATCACTTTCTAAACTATACCCACCCAATTTTTCAACTCTGAAACCCGAGAGTTGTCCCCTCTTTTCTCCTCCCCAACATCCACCCCATCCAATCAATCATCGAGTCCTGTCAGTGCTACCTCCTAAATTTCATCCACTTCTGCCTGTCCCCACTGCCAGCACTCTACTCCAAGCAGCCATCATTTCTGGCCTGGGCCACCACACTGGCCTCCAACTGACCTCCCTGCATCCACCCTGGCTTCTCAGCCATTCTCTGCTCTGCAGCCAGGATGACCTTTACAAGGCAAAGCAGATCGTGGCAATATTCCTATAGCTCCCCTTGGCACTTGGAGAAGAGCTGAATAAACAGGCCTTGATATGACCTGGCCCCTGTTCCCGACTCCAGCTTGAATCCAACCTCTCTTTAGCACATTCTTTCTGCCCTGTTCACAACGGTCATAAAATAGATCCCATGCTCTCTCCCACTCCAGGGCCTTTGCACAGCCTACTTTTGTCCATCCTGCCCTCTCCATCACCTCACTTTACACTGGTATATATTCCCAGCATCCTATGAAACTCCTTTTGAACACTCATCACATTTGCAATTCCTTGTTCAAATCAGTCTCCGTGATGATAACATTAGTGGTAATAAAAATGGGATTTATATTGGGTTGTCAAAAAAGTCATGATGCATTGTTGCCTAGGAAAATATGCCATGACTTTTCCAATAATCCACTAGTAACCCTTTTTTAGATAATGAGATAGGAGTCACTCTCTACTCTCTATCCCAGGTTTCTGTCACATGCAAAGGTATACTAGATCTGGCTTCACCAGCAGGTAAAGTTTTCAAGAACTTTGTGAGTTGGCTGATACCACATTGGTGGCTTGCAATCTGCCATGGTCAGGATATGTGCACCATGGAAATAAGTAAATGCTACAAATTGATGCCCTTCCCTGCCCCCCAATTTTCTTTTTCCTAGAGAGCTTGTCAGCCTTTACCAACCCAGTTGTGTTTCCATGCACTGTATCATTTAGTCCTTATCTTAGCTCTCTGACGTTGGTCACTGTATAGATGGGAAAACCAAAAGGTGAAGTCACTCACCCAAAATTTAAAAACTGTTTATTTGTTTATTTACCAGATTGTGGTGCCAGGGTGAAGAGTGACACTGGGTGAGGCTGACCCGCATGACTTTGAAGGTTCCAAGTTCGTGTCTAAAGACCTCCCTGAGTATACAGGGCCCACAAATATTCATGACCTAGGGCTGGCTGGGACTGGCGATGGATCATGGCATCAAGAATGTGTTGGGGGTTCTCTTTCTCTCTTTCTGTCTCTGAAGAAATAAATGAATACTTAAAAAATATATTTAGGAGGCAAGTCAAGCTGTGAGTCCAGGCAGTCTGACTCCAAAGCATGAGCGGTCCATATCTACAGGACAACATCCTGTCTTGGAAGGCAGGATCCCACTGGTCTGCCTTGTCGTCAGTATCCCCAGCCATGAGCCAAGTGCCCATGCTCCATAAATGTGTGCTTCATGACAAAATCAGTAATGTCTCAGCACCTCAAGAAAAGAGTTACTATCCTTAGATACACTTAATAAAGACACTAGGTGGGATAGCTAGAGACCTGAATCTTTGTCCAGTTCCCATCTTGAATTCAATGGGCAATTACAAGCAAGTCACTTCACCCTGGGTCTCAATTTTCTCTTCTGTAAAAGAGAAATTGTGACTAGACAGTTTTCAAAGTCCCTCCATGTCTAAAGTTCTTTGAATTTACATGTAATAAAATATCTATTGTTTTCATAGTGTGGCCTCCTCTTTCATAGGGCACTGTAGACCATAACCACCTCCATACTCTCTGGTAAGTTCCTGCTTAGCTTGAAATGTCACTTTGTTGTTACCTCCTTGGGGAAGCCTTCCATGATTCCCCAAAGTTAGTCACTTATTGTTCAGTGGCCCTGCAACATTTTTGCTTTTATATCTCTGAATTGAACCTAATTATTGTAATCCAGAGGCAGCTCTATCTCCTCTTCTAGAATTGTAAGCTGCTAGCAACATATTGATATTATGAATTTTGTGGCTTAAGCATAATTTCAGGCATATATTTGTTCAATAAATACATGGGAACCAGCAGTTGGCGTAATGGCTATGTTGCTGGACTCCCATGTAGTCGACTGCAGTTTGAGTCCCGGACCCAGCAGCTTAAATTCATGCCAGGCGCATGTGAGTGCGTGCGTGCCCAAGATCCCGAGAGGAGAATGGAGGAGAAGGGATTGTGGCGTCGCCACCATACCCGCAGGGGGCGATTTCTCACTTTTTGTTTGTCTGTCTCTCTCTGTCTTTCTGGCAAGCGCACACGTCCTATAAGAAGAAACCTCTACAAAATAATAATAATAATAATAATAATAATAAATAAATATGTGGAGTATGCTGAACTGATACACTTTAACAAGAGTAGAAATTTAGGTACAAATGAAAGAAGAAACACCATAAAATGATATTATTAAAAATTTATAATATGCCCAATTTATTTCCTTGGTTATATTTCTTTCCTTAAACCACTTATTTTCTTTTTCAAAGTAAAACACCTAATTATCTCTCAGCCTTCCGTTGTATCCCTAATTCAGACTTTATAACAGGGGCATTGTTTTTGTTAGCATAACATTGGAGTTACTCTCCCATGCACAGAAATCCTCAATGTCTTCCTACTTCTTGCCTAATCAAATCTAAATTATCATAAAAGACATTTTGATTTTTTTTTCATTTGTTAAAAATTGTGGTAAGGGGCTAGCAGGTGGTTAAGCATCTGGATTCCCATATGACTGACCATAGTTTGACTCTCAGACCTGACGGCTTGAAAAATCATACTAGGCACGTGTGCATGCATGTCCAGAATCCTGAGAGGAGAACAGAAGAGAAGGGATTGCAGCATGGCCATCCCTCCAGGGAAGTGATTTTTCACATGCTCTCTCTCTGTCTCTCTCTGGCAAGTGCATACACTCTATGGAAAACAAAACAAAAAACAACAATAACAAAACTAAAAAATATAGTGATAAAATACACATGACGAAATTTACCATTTTAATCATTTTTAAGTGTCCACTGCAGTAGTGTTAAGTACATTTACACTGTTGTGCGACCAGTTCTCAGAACGCTTACACCTTGCAAAACCGAAACTCTACGCATTGAACAACTACTCATTTTGCCTTCTCCCAACCCTGGTAACCACCATTTATCTTCTGTCTCTATGACTTTGGCTATTCAAGGCTTTTAAGCTGCTATATGGTTTCCTTCCCTCCAATGTCTAGTTCATCTAAGCTAAGCTCAAGGCCAAGTTCTCCAAGATGCATTGGCACAGCTGTCTCTGAACCAGCCTCTGTTCTCTAAGCACACATTCACTTCACCTGGTGGCCCTTGCACATGTGATTTCCACAGTTAGGATATTGGTCCTTCTTCTCATGCCCATCCAAATCTCCCTATCCTAAGTACAGTTTTTAATTTTTTTTCCTTTTGGAGAGGTTTTCGCTATAGGGCACGTGCGCTCGCCAGACAGACAGAGAGAGACATAGAGACAGAAAGTGAGAAATCACCCCTCAGGAGGGGTTGGTCACGCCGCAATCCCTTCTCCTCCCTTCTCCTCTCAGGATCTTGGGCACGCACACACACGCTCCCGGCATGAGTTTTAAGCCACCGGGTCTGGGACGCGAACCGTGATCGACTACGTGGGAGTCCAGCGACATAGCCATTACGCTAACTGCTGGTTCCCCAGTTTTCAATTTTCATCTCCTCCATGACACACATGTTACTACTCTAGTCCATACTAAACTCTTCCCGAAACTCATAAATTCATTAGAAATACCAAACACTTAGAATTTGCAAGTTTTCCAGCTGTTCCATGAAGTACATCATTGCCTCCTCCAGAAGGATCTAAACTTCCACATAGAGAAGGAAACTTGTCTTGCAAATAATTTGTACCTTCTACTTAGAAAACATAGTAGATACACAGTAGACATTCAATACATATTGGATTTTAAAATCTTACTTTCACAAAGCTTTCAAATACTTGTAATCACTGTGCACATAATTGGGCAATTTTCTTGAATCTTTCTAAGAAAATTTAGTTACAGCCAACTACATGGCCCAGTTTTAAAATCGAATATTTTTGACAAAAGACCAATGTAGCAGGGTTCCAGCAGAATTAAACTTGTAAGAGTGCACTCCTGAGATGAGCTGCTGTGACCATCTCCCACTCTACATGGAAGTGGCTTAAGTACAACACAAATTTAGAATTGAGTCTCCGTTTCTCTATTCAATGTCTATCACTCATTCAACTTTCTCACACTGGTAGAAAGACCTAGAAAAGTTAACATGATTATAACGTGGAGAGCCTGGGAACTAGAACAAAAATAGCCAGCCTCCCTTTGAATCCTTTCTCACTTACCTGTGTAAATGAACCTTCCAGGGGCTCCTTTGCAGAACTGTTTGGATTTATAAGATAATGTCACTTCTACTACTCCAGGGATGTGCCGAGGAGGAGTCTGTACTCTGATGGCATGGGGGGTTATTAGCTGAGAAATGAACAGGTAGAGAAACAAAATACTTATTAGACAAGCCATCACCAAGGACACAGGACATAGAATGCCTCTCATTACTAACCCCTGGGGCTTCTCTCCTCTCCAGGTCAACTGGTGTCCTTAGGGTTCTCAGAACGTACTCTAAATGTCTCTGTCCCTGTGTCTCAGCACCCTTCCCCCACCATGGAGCTTTCTGTCAACCCAACCTGGGTACTGTCCTTCCTACCAGTCCAGCTCAAGTCCCTCTCACATCCTGTTTCCCATACCACCCCATCTCTGGAATCATTCTCTCCACTGAATTCCTATACTGCTTGTCACTTCACATACTGATTTGGCAATTACCAAGCCTAATTTAGCACCATTTATCTTTCTGCAATATGTTTTATATGATAACAAAAGTAAAATATATCCAATTCAGCAAACTTGAAAATTACAGAAAAATATAAAGAAAAATATTAACATTGCAGAGATGATATTTATAGTTGGTATATTCCTAGTACTCTTCTACAGATGTATGTATGTAATTAGACTTTACATTCATACAGGTATCCCTTCTCCTGTGCCATTATCAATTTTTTCAAAATATTTTAATGATAAAATGATATTTCATCATGTATTTATCTTAGCATTCTCATATTATCCAATATTTAGACTATTTGTAATTTTTCACAACTTAAAATGTTATGGCAATGCATATATACATTTTAAGGGATCCATTCCTGCCATAATCATGTCCTCTATGTCTCTTTTATGCTTAGTGTCCTACTCATAGTAAGTAGTCACCAATATGTGTACGTACTCCTAGAATTGCTAGTTTCCCCAGAACAAAATGGTATTAAGGCCAACAGAAATCAGGGAAGCAAGATGTCTTTGCCTACCTCACTCCATACAAGCATGGTCCCAAAGACCACTTGAAGACCATCAAAGAAGTTATCCCCAATGATGATGACCATGGCTCCTCCTGTGGTCCAGCCTTCACTTGGGCTAATGGCTTTGATGCAGGGAGTAGCTAAGAAGATAGGAAAGAAAAAGGTATTTAGTGGTTGTCATTTTGAGTTTTGGGAATGGGCCGGTCTTGAAAGCTGTTGGTCATTCCAAGAAGTTCAAGCTGAGCTTTGTTGACTTGCCATCATTCCCTAATTGGTTGTTGGTTTTCACCAGGCCATTAAAGTTTAACAAGTTGACCATTATATATGAAAAAGTAAAACACTTAGCTAATTGTGCAATGTGTGTTTTTAGAACTCTGTTGTTTTTGCCCATATTTTTATAAGTTGATCATGCTGGAAATGTGTAAATCCCTTTTCTCTCCCCACCTCCTCTGTCCCAAGATGTTAAGATTTACAAGGCCCATCAACATGCTAAAGGAAAAGGAAAAAACAAAATCTATTGTAGTTGAAAGGTTTTCTTCAGCTCTATTGAGAGATAATTTCTAATCACTCTCCTAACTTTGTAGGAAGGATTTTCCCCCCTTCTTCCATATGTTCAAGGCCTCTGGACTTTACATCCCAACAGGAACCCAATATGGTTTTCAGGCCATAACTAAAGTCAATCCATCACTCCATTTCCAAAGTTGACAGGGTCAAAGGTGGAGGAGAACTTTGGCAGGACTCCAAAAACATGAGCCCCCTTTGAACAGCCAGTCAATCACATCCAATCAGTCAAAAGAAACTGGATGGGTTCCTAGTTCTGAACTCTGGGATTTTCTTCTCCCCTTTCAGTGCCCACTGTGGGAGAATTAACACCACTCTGAATTCTTTACTGATTCAATCATTTTCTTTCAGTTCATTAATTCCTATTTAAAATGATACAAGATACATTTTAAGGGCTGATTTGGGGTAGGGACTGGTGGGTAACATACAGAAAAAAATGACACTAAAATAATAGCCTAATTTGGCCATTCATTCTAAATTATAAGGTCTTCCTCCACCAGTAAGTCAGGGAGGGCAGAAGGAAGGGGAATAACTAAGATGGAATTTGCTTAAGTTTGTCAGTTATCTTCACTGATACACTTTAATTTTTTGGACAACTTGAAGTTTAACAGTTACCAGTATTTCTAATTACTTTAATGCACTTGGAAAACTACCCAGAGCAAAACCATGATTTCTTCTTGTCCAAGCAAACAAAAATCAATTAGTGTCAGTTCCATTCTGCACATTGTTTTGTTTTGCCCACAATCTGTTTAAGGGCACATCTGACACTTATTCATACATGTCTGGCACTGCAATGTTCCTGTTTAACTAAGATGTCATAAGCCTACATTTGCCTGCAATGCCCGTCTAGCAAAAAGAAAAACACAGAACTGAATGGAAAAGGCTGTGAGGCACAAGGACTTGAACACTGGCTGGGAGATGTGAAGGGCTTATAATAGAGCAGACTGGAGTCATTGTTTACAATTTCACTTAAAAACTCACATGGTTTAGTGTAGCTTTTCCACTCTGACTCAGAAACACAGATTTAAAACCCAAACAAGGAAATTTGTGGATACTTTCATTTGTCTACCATTCTCAGGTCAGACAGCCTTACCTTCCGACGGGTCCAGTCTTCGTGCTCTTCGCCCATGCTTGGAATTGTTATGAACAAACATGTTGTCAGAAACGGCCAGCACGTGCCCATCCACATTCACTGTTGTTGACAACACAACCTGCATATTGAAAGTGAAAAGGGGAGGAGAGATGACGGGGTTAGTTTCACATAAAGTAGCAAATGTACCAGCATTCTCTTTTACTACACCTGTATTCACAAATACAAGACCATATAGAATTTGGGGAAGAGTCATGGTTTCAACAACTCAACAGGTTTTTCTCTTCCTGTAATTATGGCAGAAGTTGGTGGAGAAAGATGCTACCCTTTGCCCATCTGTTGTCATGTATTTGTTTTCAACATACACTCATAGTCGTGAAATGAGAAAGCTGGGCATATGCTTGCTGGTTTCTGAAACCTCAATTTCTATCAAAGGACTTGGGCCATCGCTCCCAATAGAACCTCAAGCTGTAGTCATCACAAGGCACAGCTGTGCATTGGGAACCAGCAGTTAGCGTAATGGCTATGTCACTGGACTCCCACGTAGTCGACCGTGGTTCGTGTCCCGGACCCGGTGGCTTAAAACTCACGCCGGGCGCGTGTGCATGCGTGCCCAAGATCCCGAGAGGAGAATGGAGGAGAAGGGATTGCGGCGTGACCATCCCCCCTGGGGGGTGATTTCTCGCTTTCTATCTCTATGTCTCTCTCTGTCTGTCTGGCGAGCGCACGCGCCCTACAGTGAAAATCTCTCAAAAAAAAAAAAAACAAGGCACAGCTGTGCATTAAATAACCAAGATCTATATGCCAACTGGAAGGTCACTTCTCTAAGCTTGAGAATGGATTCTTGCAATTTAGATGTGTCCTAACATCACGCTAGACATTGGGATGCTGGCTGATGGACAGTCTGTGGTGTCTGCACCTACAAAAAAGTCATGGCAGATACTTGGATTTTGGGTGAGAAGATAAGGTTGCCAGAACTCAGCCCTGAAAGCATAAGATGTTTAGTATGTAACTGGAGGAAAGAGAAACGATGGATGTGGAGTCGTGGAAGAGCATGGATTTGGAGTCAAATAAAATAGAACTCTTGCTCCAGTCCTGCTGCTTCTTCACATCCAGGACAAATTACTTTACCTGTTCAAATCTTAGTTTTTCTTATCTATAGAACATAAACAAAGTCTACCTTGCAGGGCTGAATGAAACAAAATGAAATAGTACTGTACATGGAAGGATTCAGCATAGCACTTGGTATGTGCCAAATTTAGATGAGTTTGCTAGAATTGGTCTTGATCCTGGGCCTTATTCAATTGGTCAGCAAGACAGATAACATTTCTTATCAAGATTTGCCCATGATCTAAGCTCTGGAAAGGCTCTAAAAAGGGGAACACAGAGCCAGAAATCAATAGTTCTAAGTATAATCCATCCTTCCCAGAGCTTACACTCAAGCTAAGAAACATAGCTAACACATGAACGTACCACACTGAATGGTGCTGAATTAAGTTCTACTATGTGTGCTTCAAGATAAGGCTGTGAGAGAAGTTCAAAGAGGCAGAGACCAGTTAGGGCCAGGGCTACAGGTGGCATGGTGGTTAAGATGCAGAACTTCCACATGGCAGAGTGCAGTTCGCGTTCCAGACCTGACAAGCTGGGTGAGTGTGCATGCGTGCCCAAAATCCCAGGAGGAGGGACTAGCAGATGGCATAATGGTTATATCGCTGGACTCCCACAGAGACAACTGCGGTTTGAGTCCTGGGCCTGATGGTTTAAAACTCATGCCAGACATGTGTGCGTGCATGCCCAAGATCCCAAGAGGAGAATAGAGGAAAAGGGATTGTGGTGTGGTCATTCCTCCTTAGGAGTAATTTCTTGCTTTCTGTCTCTCTCTCTGGCAAGTGCTCCAGAAGGAGAATGGAAGAGAAGGGATTATGTTGTGATCATCCCTCCTGGGGAATGATTTCCCACTTTTCCTTTCACTGTCTCAGTCTGTCTCTCTGGCAAAAACCTTAAACACACACACACCAGAGAGGGCCTACAAGGTATAGTATAAGAAAGTGGACTTGGGTGCATCTACCACCAACTTAATTGAAGCAGGAAAATGAACTATCCCAGACACATGACTGCTTCCCAGCTCACATCAGTTACACACAGCAATTATCTTAGTGAAAAAGGAACTTGTTGTATACATATTCATGCATGTGTATAGATCTTTGGAGGAAAGGCATTGAATAGGTACATAATGTGGAACTGTGTTTAAAAATGACTCTTCCTGCCTACTCCCAAATTAAATTCATTAATATCATACTCGTCATTGTCTTGCCATCTCTTCATTATTAAATACGGAGGGTGGGGAGACTTGACCCTGATTTACCTCTTGATTTAAAAGAATTAGAGAGCATTTTAAAACTCTTTATTAGGAGTCATTTCAAGCAAACAAAATACTATAATCTCCTTTTTATCCTTGTTTTTACTTTCTCTGGTTTCAGTTACCCCTAGTCAAGTAAGGTCTCAAAATAGGTGAGTACAGTAATTACAGCACAATAAGATATTTTGAGAGGGACAGCATTCACATAATTTTTATTACAGTGTATTGTTATAACTGTTCTATTTTATTATTAGTTAGTGTTCATCTCTCCTCATTTATAAATTAGACTTTATCACAGGTGTGTATGTGTAGGGAGAGTTCAGTACTATCGACAGTTTCAGGCGTCTACTGATGGGTCTTGGAATGCCTTCCCTGCAGATAAGAGGGGGAGCTACCATAAACAGAATAGCATAATAAATCCCTAGCACTCATCATCCAGTTTCAAGAATGGTCAAAATATTGCCACTCTCATCTCATCTATACTGCCACCCGCTGCTCCATGCTGATGATCACACAATCAGGTTTCTTTCAGGTAAAATTTTAAGTAAAATCTGCATATATTGAAGTGCACAAAGCTTAGCTGCCCAATTTACTTATATATCTATTTCTCTCTCCCCAGAAAGTTATCCTCTGCTCTTTCCCAGCCAATGCTACCCCTCCCTCTCCACCAAGGCAACACTCTTCTGATGTTTTTCCCTAAAGAGAGCTTTAAAGGCATCTTTATTTTTTATAAATGTTAATAAGTTACAGTGTAATAAGTCTGGGAGAATTCCAAAACCCCTGAGTCCACAAATCACTTTATATAGCCCCACACCTTGGGCATGGTAGTAGCATACATGAAATTTTATGTGAACACAGTGAGTTTCCATCATTCAACCCAACAGATATTCACTGAGCTCCTACTACATGTCAGGCATTATGATAGGCCCTCAAGAGTCAAACAATAAACTCAGAGGACCCTAAGCTGTCATTCATAAAATTATCTTTAATGTAATTGCTCACAATTCAGTGATGCAGCCTGTCTAGCTCTGAGTCTGTTTTCAATTGTATCCATGTGAACACGTTTGTGTCTGGGAAAAGTCCTTCCAGAAAATTCCTATCACATGGTGGCAACCATAAGACAGAGACATTCATCAAGTTCCACAAGTGCACCAAGGCGCTAGTTCTTATCAGTGACCTCCGCAAAGCACAGACCACATGACAAAGATAGACTGAGGCTCATTGTCACGGGGTTCAGATAAATGTGAAGTCTGAACATAATCACCTCTGTGCAAACTTACACTCCTAAAATCATAGGGAAAAGGGGAGGAAAAAAGAGAAATCGAACCACTCTTTGAAAACATACATGTGAATGGATTTGCAGATGTGACTGTCATCTTTGGAAAACAAACAAAAAGAATAAGAAAAATAAAAAAGCAAGAGGATGCTTCAGCTTTAAGTGTTAATGACTGTACTAGGCACACTGAAGAGAATCTTGGCCCTGTCTTGAGGTTTACGTGGACGTAAAACAATGTTCTCTTTTGAGCCAGCAGGTGATGTAGTAGTTAAGCACTGGATTCCCATGTAGTCAACTGTGCTTTGAGTCCCAGACCTGGCAGCTTGAAACTCGTGCCAGGCACATGTGTGTGTGTGTGTCCAAAACCCGAGAGGAGTGTAAAGGAGAAGGGATCGAAGCATGACCATCCTCCCAGGGGCTGATTTCTTATTTTCTGTCTCTCTGTCTCTCTAGTGAATGCACACACCCTAAGAGCAAATATCTCTCAAAAAAGAAAAAGTTCTCTCTGAGGCCACTTTAATTCATTCCACAAGCTTCTTGTCATACACCCTATTAATGCTCCTCATGCCACAAAATATGGGCTTTCATGAGCCAGCTGATTTCATCATTGTCCATTTGGGTGGAGTGAGTCTTAGTTCCAAAGTGAACATTTCCCGAATGACATACCCTGATGGTTCAGATGCACTTCATTATTTTCTATTAACAATGGAAATAAATTTTAATCTCTTGCTGGCTAGCGCTGGCCTCTCATGACAGCAAGGGAATTAACCTGAATTATATCAGTGTCTGCAAAATTTATTACAAGATTTTAAATTATGTCCAAATGTGTGTGCATGTATATATATAGATATGAGGCAAGCTCCAGTTTTTCATATTCCAAATATCTCAGACTTCAACGTACCTAGAAGAGCCTGCCAATTAAATTGAATTTGCAAAACCTAATGGATTTAATTCACAAACTCCACAACATGAAAGCAGACATGTTCGGTTGTTGTTCCTAGACAAGGAGATGCACAATTAAATACTGGTTTCATATATATTCACTCTACTTCTAGGAGAAGGAACTACATTATGTAGGTGGAGATACATTGGGTACAGTCAAAGTTTCAAATTTAACCTCCTTCACTGTTTTCTGATGCGCGATGACAACACTGATATTATTCTATTCAAAGAAGTTAAAATTTCTGAATGTTTTAAGACTAAAGGAAGTGGAATGTGCATTCCAACATCATCTGACTCCCAGGCCTTCCCTTTCCACAAGCCAGCTTCTTTCCCCTAGTGAGTATTTCCTGGGTCATGAAGGCTGACCCTTTCCATCTGGAATCAATCAGTCAACCCCTGACAACTTCCTGAAACACCTCACTCCATTTCCTGTTCTCTCCCCCTTCTCGCTTTCCCCCTGGTTTGCTTCACTCTTCAAAACTGCAGGCCACAGCAGCTTAATGTTAGAGGGTCAGGCACAGTTAGACTCCAAAACACTACACAA